CACTATTTATGATTTACAGTCACAAAACCAGATTTGTATCTTGAAAATAGTAAATGCATTTACGGGATCCTGAGAAAATCTTCTTTTTCAGTTATCAAGTTATAATGGGTGGATTTTGAAAAAAAATGACTTTAAGATCTTCCTCTTGGCACATGAATTTAAGTATTGTGAAAGTACGGTTTCTTATTAAGAAAAAATACTTTTAGTTAATGTAATATGTTCATATATTTCATATTTTGATTTGAGGTTCAGCTATACTGGCCTTGTATGAAATTAGGACCTGCACGTATGTCCACATCTCATACAGAGTTATTCGTCTTTGTATGGCTGAAATATACCCGAAGAGTCACTGGCTCATTACTAGTCCAAAACAAACATCCGTCGATCACGAAAATGTGTCGATCGTAATTTTGGATACGCTTGATACTTCAAAACTATCCGCTTAATGGCGACATCTGAGGAATAGAATATGGACCAGGTAGACCAGTGGCTGATAGGGTGAGCAACGATCAATCTTACAGGCTCACGATAACACACAATTAAACCGTTCAAACATCGGCTCTTATGATAAGCAATGGGTACTGAGTTTTCCATTTGTCCAGCTATCTAAAAAGACATGCATCATAAACATGATGTAATGGGCTGTGCGTGTTGCCTGCACATATATGAGAGAGTGGAGGCGTTTTTGAGTTTGCAGTATAGAGCAGTTTCTTTTATCAACCACGCAGTTACAAAACGGATCGACCTGAACTCTTGTGCGTGACAGGCAAATGCACTCAGCACCAGGCTATCCTGCCGCCCCTCGATATGTGGAAAGGTTGGTTAGAGTTGGTTTGCCTTACTCTCAACTTGATGGAGATCGCGAACCAAACTCGTCACCACACACATCAATTGTCACCCTTATAATTTTGTTCTACTTCCAAATCAATTCACTGAGCCTTGAATCATATAATACGACCAAATAGTACAACACTACCCAGAAACTGTTTGTACAGAGAAATAGTGAAATCGTAAACGCACCCAGAGAAGCGCTGGTATACTGCAATGTGTGTGAAACTTGACGACGATAGAGCTAAAGCTGAGATCCAGGAATGTGAGTGAGTGATTTATTAGGTAATTTGTCGATAAAATTCGACCACGCACAAATGAACTATAGCATGAAGAAACGAAAATCCATTTGAAAAATGTCATCCGAGTGCTTTCAAACAGTGTATTGGGCTGCCGTCGAGCAAGATTGCCCTGCTGTCGTGATGTATCGTGCATCTTTCGGTAAACATTGGCGTGATATTGAATTGGCACTGTCAGGTCCTACAGTCGACCAAGATTGTCGTGCTGTCGTAATGTATCGTGCATCTTAGGCCCACATTGGCGTGCTATTGTATTGTAGCGTGCCGCTGTGAGTGCTCATTGCCATGCTGTCGTACTGTAGCGTGCTACTGTCGGTCAACATTGCCGCGCTATCGTACCGTGCTTCCTACCGTCTGCCAACACTGGCGTGCAATCGTACTGTAGCCGTGGTACCCTCGGTTCCAATTGTCGTGCTTTGACACTGTAGCGGGATGACTGTCCTTCCACATTGCCGTGGTGTCGTACCATAGCGTGCTGCTGTCGGCCCACAATGCCATGCTTTCGCACCGTCGCGTGCTGCTGTCGTACCGTAGGGCATCATTGCTATTCTTGGCTACCGAAGAAATGTACAAAGACATGCTGTCTGACTGTCACGAATATGTCTTTGTAAGGCAGACACTTTTATGTCGTCATACAACGAAACTGGCTGTCGAAAATGTTTTGAGTTTCCGCTTTAACTGCCAAGGAAGTATTTTACATTTACTAATACTACCCTGCGTCGGGCAGAGCTCACACCTCATTGCCTCATCTGTGTTTGCAAACTTTTGAAGTTTATTCAAATCTAACTCAATGCATATTCGAAATTGGCGAGCACACATTTCACATTGAAGAGACAAAGAGCCAGGGCGACCTCCAACACAAATATCGAATTTGTCTGGCGTGGTATGTACAATTTCAGACTGTTCACACCAAACTAATTTGATTCCTTCCTCTGTCTAGTAACTCTCCTGTGTTCTTTGATCCTAATAGTGGCATTGTGTATCGGTTACCGCTCCGTGATACCTCTAGACGTCATTCAACTATGATTTGATGCAGTTACATCCATGCTTGGCAAATACATACATCTTACAAAAAGTCATTAGATTCAGCAACAGCACTGGCCTACATCAAACGCACAGGCAACTCTCGTTGAAAGAAAAATTGTCTGTACAACTTTCGAAACTTTACAAATGCTTACCCCGTTGGGATATGTGGTTAGTGTAAGTCACAAGTATAATCCCCTACAACGGTTCAATAGTGTGATTTTAAATCATTTAATTGGGTATCACGAATCAGAAGAAAATTCCCCGGTCACTCATGTTTGTTTCTATGAGGGTATTCTCATTCAAAATAGGTCCCCAGAACTTCTCTCTTTGTGGGTATGCTGTGTCCGTATAATTCCTGGGAACATCAAGCAGACTTTCACAATCACTGACTAAACTCCTGGCGTCATCACTTATTTTAAGTGATCCATTCATATAATTTTCTAGTTTGCCTTTTATACCCAATGGAATCTGTGCTCTGGCTTTGACGTTTTATTGCTAATTGTTGACCCTGCTAATTGTGTGTCATCGAACACGTTGGCTTAAGTCATTGTGCTTCTTTTCAAATTCTACTTTCCTTGCCAGGCTAAAAGCATGTTTAATATCATAGAATTTTATTGAATTGTATCACTAAACAACATAATTTAAAGCAGCCCGGCTCGTCCCAATTGCTGACAAGAAACTTTAACTACATCTGTGACGAATTGACAACTTGGCTGATTGCTTGTCACCGTGTTTAAAGGTCAACCTGACATAGGTTTGACTATTGACTATTGACTTCCCGTATATAACATTCACTCTAACGCTCAAACATTGTGACGGTGCTCTCGATGGTGTGGATCGAAGCTCGTCGATAAGGTTTGTGTGGTCCAGGATGGAGTAGTATACAGGGTGTCGTGATATTGTTGTATCATGACCCAATTTGACTACAAAGGCGGATTATCCAATTCAATATAAGAAACATATGTACCCTCATTAGCATAACGGACCTGATTTCGAGTTATAGAATAAATGATTGAATTACATATCCAATGCTCCTGGCATGACAAACAATCTATAATTTGTGACGAATTGTGATCTTTTGCTATGGTTAATCATAATCGCATTATACGTTGACAAATACTGAGAAGAACTATTGCTACATGTGGTATCCTATCATGACATCCTTTTTCCCAGGTGTCGTTGAAGAGACATGATGTTTGGAAATCAATTTTGACACAATCTCTTCGTATTCTACGGCAACTAGGATACAAATGGCGGCTATGAGAAGGAGGACAGAATTCTAATCTGGTTATATGTCCACATGGACAATGGAAAAAAATCTTTTCTGTTACAGTTCTTTTGTCATTTACTGTATATTTACCTACTGGGTAGTCTCAAATGGCTGATGCAATAAATTATCTCTGCTTTCATTCAAATACATCCTCGTTAGCTTTCCCTTTTCCTTTCCTTAGGAATGACCATGTGTGAAGCCCATTTCTGGTGTACCCCGTCGTGATATTACTGGAATATAGTTGAAAGCGATGTAAAACCATATTCAGTAACTCACTTTTTCGAAAAGAACAACCTGTTCAATAAAACTATGAGAACCATTTTGAAGCATTAATAAAAGCGACAAAACCCTTTCCATATTCATAAGAAATATATCATGAGCATGTGTTCCTGAGTGAGTGAGTGAGTATGGTTTTACGCCGCTTTTAGCAATATTCCAGAAATATCACGGCGGGGGACACAGGAAATGGGCTTCACACATTGTACCCATGTCGGGAATCGAACCCGGGTCTTCGGCGTGACGAGCGAACGCTTTAACCACGAGGCTACCATACTGCCCTGTGTTCATGATATCACTATCAAATAGTGATGATACCGGGTGAAAAATGAACAGTGATTAGAAATGACAGACTACTTAGCAAATTTGATTTGAGCACATGTTCCCGATAATGTGTCATGAATTTTTATGATTAACAAACACACACAAAACTTATCTTGAAAATTAGGAAGTGCATTGACGATAATCTAAGGAAAAAATTTTCAGTTACCAAATTATGATTTCAGTCATTTCAGCAATCACATAGATTAACGAAACGGAACATGAAAATGGTCTCAGAGGTCCTGTGCGTGACAGGCAAATGCACGCAGCATGAGGCTGTCCAGCCTCCCCTCGATATGTGGAAGGTTTGGTTAGAGTTGATTTGCATAACTATTAACCTGATGGAGATCTCAAACCAATGTGTACATCAATTGTCATCCTCATAATGTGATCCACTTAAAAATGTATTCACGGAGCTTTGAATTAATTCGACAAAATAAAAAAATATTCAGAAAGTTTGTACTCCATAAAAATAGTTCCCGGCAAACGTTGGTTTGATGCAGTGTATGTGAAACGTTCATTTTCTGGCGTCTTCAGAGCCGAGGCTGAGATCCAAGAATGGTGACGTGTGGTAGGAGGAATTCAAGACCACAGTTATGGTAACTTATTATGGAACTTCTCGGAATCTTTCTCTTCTTTTATTACAACGGAAAGTAAAACATGACATCACGCAAAGTTGAACAATTGACTCACAAAGAAAATGCATTATCAACTTTAACACGAAGGACAAGAAAACGATTTCAGCAGTAAAATATTTGTTCGCATGAAAAAGAATGATGACTGTGTGAAAAAAGGACATTGTTGTATTTGAGTATCTCATGTCTAAATACTCAAAACATCTTAATCTAATTTTTATGGCCATTTTTTCAAATATTACAAAATGAGGGAAATGCCTTTTCTAAGTATTTCAGTACATGAAATGGAGATAGGATAATTCTTTTGAAAAATATCCTACAATTGCAGGTGTTGTCTTTTTGTACTTTGACACAGCATAGCGTGTGCTGTCAGCCAAGATTGCCATGCTGTCGAACTGAAGCGTCCTTCTGCTGCCTGGGCGTGAGCAGTTGGTGGGAACAGGCCGAGCTCCGGAGATGCAGGGTAGGTGGTAGTTGGAGGGAACAGGCCGACCTCCGGAGATGCAGGGTAGGTGGTAGTTGGTGGGGACAGGCAGACCTCCGGAGATGCAGGGTAGGTGGCACTTAGCAGGAACAGGCCGACCGCCGGAGATGCAGGGTAGGTGGTAGTTGGTGGGAACAGGCCGACCTCCGGAGATGCAGGGGAGGTGGCAGTTGGTGGGGACAGGCAGACCTCCGGAGATGCAGGGTAGGTGGTAGTTGGTGGGGACAGGCAGACCTCCGGAGATGCAGGGGAGGTGGCACTTAGCAGGAACAGGCCGACCGCCGGAGATGCAGGGTAGGTGGCACTTAGCAGGAACAGGCCGACCTCCGGAGATGCAGGGTAGGTGGTAGTTGGTGGGAACAGGCCGACCTCCGGGGATGCAGGGGAGGTGGTAGTTGGTAGGAACAGGCTGACCTCCGGAGATGCAGGGGAGGTGGCAGTTGGTGGGGACAGGCCGACCGCCGGAGATGCAGGGTAGGTAGTAGTTGGTAGGAACAGGCCGACCTCCGGAGATGCAGGGGAGGTGGCAGTTGGTGGGGACAGGCCGACCGCCGGAGATGCAGGGTAGGTGGTAGTTGGTAGGAACAGGCCGACCTCCGGGGATGCAGGGAAGGTGGCAGTTGGTGGGAACAGGCCGACCTCCGGAGATGCAGGGGAGGTGGCAGTTGGTGGGGACAGGCCGACCGCCGGAGATGCAGGGTAGGTGGTAGTTGGTAGGAACAGGCCGACCTCCGGAGATGCAGGGGAGGTGGCAGTTGGTGGGGACAGGCCGACCGCCGGAGATGCAGGGTAGGTGGTAGTTGGTAGGAACAGGCCGACCTCCAGGGATGTAGAAAGGTGGCAGTTGGAGCGGACAGGCCGACCTCCAAAATTAAACAGGATTAAAAACACTGTGCGTGTTCAATGCACATAAATGAGAGAGTTTAGACTTTTATAAGTTGGCACGGTTCAACGCAGCCACAAAACGGAACTGAACATGAAAAATGGTCTTCATGTTTTGTACCCATGGTGGATTGACCTGTGATCTTATGAGTGACAGGCAAATGCACCCAGCACCAGGCTATCCCACCGCCCTGAGATATGTGGAAAGGTTGGTTGGAGTTGATTGGTCTAAATCTTAGCCTGATAGAGATATCAAACCAAACTCGTCACCTACATATCAATTGCCAGCCTTCTAATTGGGTCTACTTCAAATTGTATCAGCAGAGCCTTGAATTATATAATCCGACCTCTAAGTACAACACTATTAGGACAGTGTCTTCCCCGTAGAAATAGTGACTACAGAAACACATACAAACGCTCGTACGCTGCAGTGTATGTGAGAACCTGACGTCGACAGAACTGAGGCTCACATCCATGTGTTGGTAGGGTGACTTCAAGATTCTCTTGTGGTGACTGATAACGTAATTTTTTCCATGGGTGTGAGAGGTGAAATTGTGTTTAACATCGCGTCAACGATTAATGGACTTTTAAAGCTACGTGCATGCACGTGCACGTGTGTGTGTGGTTGCTTGTACTAGTCTGGACAGATGCCAAATTATTTTGCTAGTCCACTGAGATACCATGCCGCAGTTTAACATGAATACCCTACGCAGCCACAGTATACTCCGAGCCAACCAGTCCTCATTTAGCCGCTTAATGCCGAGCTCCAGACAGGGTGACAACATGTACCATCCTTTAACGTAGTTTGGTATGACGCGGCCGGGGATCGAACACTAGACATTCAAGTCTCCGGGCCAACGCACTACCACCAGACCACGGAGGCGATCAATATTCCCTTAGCGTTCGACACCACCCACAAATGAACTGAGAAATGAAGAAACGAAAATTCGTTTGAGAATGTCAAATGAGTGTTGTCATTATTGCATACAGTATATTGTGCTGCTGTCAAATAAGACCGCCGTGCTGTGGTACTGTAACGTCCTGCAGTCGAACAAGATTGCCGTGCTGTCGTAATGTATCGTGCATCTTTAGGCCCACATTGGCGTGCTATTGTATTGTAGGGTGCCGCTGTGAGTTCTCATTGCCATGCTGTCGTACTGTAGCGTGCTAATGTCGGTCTACATTGCCGCGCTATCGTACCGTGCTTCCTATCGTCTGCCCACATTGGCGTGCAATCTTACTGTAACGAGTTACTTTCGGCCAACATTGGCATGCTACCGCACTGTATCTGAATTGCTACCGTCAGTTCACTTTACCGTTCTTTCGCACTATTGAGGGATGATTTTCGGCCCACATTGCCGTGATGTCGCACTTTAGCGTGCTGCTGTCGGCCCACAATGCTGTGCTATCGTACAGTCGCGTCGTCGTACCGCAGGTCAACATTGTCGTTGTAGGGTACCGAGGAAATGTGCAAAGGCATGCTGTCCAACCGTCACAAATAGGACAAGTTTAGATAAAATCTAAGGTGTAAACGTTCCGCTTAAACTGCCAAGGAAGTATTTTACTGATACTACTCTGCGTCGGGCAGAGCTCACGCCTCATTTTCTCATATGTTTTTGCAAACGTTTGAAGTTTATTCAAATCTAACTCAATGCATACTCGAAATTGGCGAGCACACATTTCACATTGAAGAGACAAAGAGCCAGGGCGACCTCCAACACAAATATTGAATTTGTCTGGCGTGGTATGTACAATTTCAGACTTTTCACGCCAAACTAATTTAATTCCTTCCTCTGTCAAGTAACTCCCTTGTTCGCTTTCATCCTAATAATGGCACTGTGTATCGGGTAGTCCTCCGTGATACCTCTAGACGTCATTCAACTATGATTTGATTCAGTTACATCCATGCTTGGCAAATACATACATCTTACAAAAAGTCATTAAATTTAGCAACAACACTGACTTACGTCTCGTTGAAAGCAAAACTGTCTGTACAACTTTCGATACTTTACAAATGCTTACCCCGTTGGGATGTGTGGTCAGAGTAAGTCACCAGTATAATCCCCTACAACGGTTCAATAGTGTAATTTTAAATCTCTTAATTGGGCATTACGAATGAGAAAAAAACCCAGTCACTCATGTTTGTTTCTATGAGGGTATTCTCATTCAAAATAGGTCCCAAGAATTTCACACTTGTCTCTTTGTGTTTATTTTTGTGTGCTTCTTTTCAATTACTACTTTCCTTGCCAGGCTAAAAGCATGTTCAATTTGCATAAAATGTAATCAAATTGTATCACTAATCAACATTGTCTAATGCAGCCCGGCTCGTCAAAATGACTGACAAAATTTCAACTATATCTGTGACGAACTGAAAACTTGGCTGATTGCTTGTCACCGTGCCCCGAGGATTGTTATTCGGTCGTTCATGATATCAACCATCGGTTTGATTGTCAAGATGCGAGTTTTAAGGGCTTCCCTGACATACATTTCATAATGAAAACATTTACTCTAATGCTCAATCATTGTGACGGTTTCCTCAATGGTGTGGATCAAAGCTCATCGATATTTTTGTGTGTTATTATTTTGTTTCTTTTTGGAGTACACAAACATTAGGTTTACAGAATATAGTTCACAAGCAATCTTAAAGACATACAAGTCACAAAGTATATCTATGGATAATAACAAACAAAACCATTCCAGTGTCAGGATGGCGAGACATCTTTGTTGGATTCTGTAAGTTCGTAGGTTTACATGAATAGGTGGTGACAGAGTGACCAAAGATTCATGAACTGTGTGTATTTACATTGTGAATATGATAAGCTCATCGATAAGGTTTGTGTGGTCCAGGATGGAGTACTTTACAGGGTGTCGTGATATTGTTGTATCATGACCCAATTTGACTACAAAGGCGGATTATCCAATTATCCAGTCTAAAAGCATGTTTAATATCATAGAATTTTATTGAATTGTATCACTAAACAACATAATTTAAAGCAGCCCGGCTCGTCCCAATTGCTGACAAGAAACTTTAACTATATCTGTGACGAATTGACAACTTGGCTGATTGCTTGTCACCGTGTTTAAAGGTCAACCTGACATAGGTTTGACTATTGACTATTGACTTCCCGTATATAACATTCACTCTAACGCTCAAACATTGTGACGGTGCTCTCGATGGTGTGGATCGAAGCTCATCGATAAGGTTTGTGTGGTCCAGGATGGAGTAGTATACAGGGTGTCGTGATATTGTTGTATCATGACCCAATTTGACTACAAAGGCGGATTATCCAATTCAATATAAGAAACATATGTATCCTCATTAGCATAACAGACCTGTTTTCTAGTTATAGAATAAATGATTGAATTACATATCCAATGCTCCTGGCATGACAAACAATCTATAATTTGTGACGAATTGTGATCTTTCGCAATGGTTATTATCCCCTGCCACGAAGTGGAAGGGGGATATAGGAATGGGTGCCGTCCGTCCTTCCGTCCGTCACATTTCGTTTCCGGAGCAGATCTTGAAAACAGTACCATATTCCTTCACCAAACTTGGCACATAGATAGATCTAGTGGTGAACTGGTGCCCTTTGATAGTTTGGGATTTTTAAAAAAGTTATTTTTCGAGTTTCCATGGCAACGACTTTGATTTAGACTGAAAATGGCAGTAGTCCTCGTTTCCGGAGCCGATCTTGAAAACCTTCCCATATTTCTTCGTCATACTTGGCACATAGATAGGTCTAGTGGTGAACTGGTGCCTTTTGATAGTTTGGGATTTTAAAAAATAATTATTTTTCGAGTTTCCATGGCAACGACTTTGATTTAGACTGAAAATGGCAGTAGTCCTCGTTTCCGGAGCAGAACTTGAAAACCGTACCATTTTTCTTCACCATATTTTGCACATTGATAGGTCTAGTGGTGAACTGGTGCCTTTGGATAGTTTTGGATTTTTTTTAAAGTTATTTTTCGAGTTTCCATGGCAACGACTTTGATTTAGACTGAAAATGGCGGTAGTCCTCGTTTCCGGAGCAGATCTTGAAAAACATACTATATTTCTTTACAAAAAGGCCCAGTGAACATAGTTCACAGGAGCTAATGCATTGCACACACCCGACATGTCATATTGGTGGGGGATGTGAATATTTCATGCTTGTTCATAATTGCATTATACGTTGACAAATACTGAAACAATGAATGGTAATAAAAAACTATTGCTACATGTGGTATCCTATCATGACATCCTTTTCCCAGGTGTCGTTGAAGAGACATGATGTTTGGAAATCAATTTTGACACAATCTCTTCGTATTCTACGGCAACTAGGATACAAATGGCGGCTATGAGAAGGAGGACAGAATTCTAATCTGTTTATATGTCCACATGGACAATGGAAAAAAATCTTTTCTGTTACAGTTTTTTTGTCATTTACTGTATATTTACCTACTTGGTAGACTCAAATGGCTGATGCAATAAATTATCTCTGCTTTCGCTTAAACATATCCTCTTCAGCTTTCCCTGTTCCTTACTTTTGAGATGACCACGTGTGAAGCCCAATTCTGGTGTACCCCGTCGTGATATTACTGGAATATAGTTGAAAGCGATGTAAAACCATATTCAGTAACTCACTCTTTCGGAAAGAACAACCTGTTCAATAAAACTATGAGAACCATTTTGAAGCATTAATAAAAGCGACAAAACCCTTTCCATATTCATATGAAATATATCATGAGCGTGTGTTCATGATATCACTATCAAATAGTGATGATACCGGGTGAAAAATGAACTGTGATTAGAAATGACAGACTACTTAGCAAATTTGATTTGAGCACATGTTCCCGATAATGTGTCATGAATTTTTATGATTTACAAACACACCCACAACCTATCTTGAAAATTAGGAAGTGCATTGACGATATTCTCAGGAAATTCTTTTTCAGTTATCAAATTATGATGGGAGGGTTTTGGAAAATGCCGAATTACTAAGATCTTCCTTCAGGCATAAGTATTAAATGATAGCTTTGAGTCTTATTAAAAAATACACTTTTACCTTGATCATGCTTGAAAATATGGTTTGAGGTTTAGCGCCCATAATAATATTGACTATGCAGACTAGTGGTTGACAGCGTGAGCAACGATCCATCTCACAGGCGCACGAAGACACAATCAACCTGTTTACACTCGTTAAGCATTGGATACTAAAAATCCATTTTCCGAGGGAGAGGAACACAAATATGATATAATGAATTGCCTGTCCATGTATTTCAGCTATATGACGGCGATCTGTAAATAGTCGAGTCTGGACAGGACAATCCAGTGTATGACATCATGAACATCGATCTACGCATTGTGATACGATGACATGCAATTAATTATGTCAGCGAGCCGGATCACCCACATCTTCACGGGTGCCTCGACAAATCTGAGAGAGCCAAGGAGTTGGTACTTTGGCAGGGTCATTTCAGCAATCACATAGCATAACAAAACGGAACATGAAAATGGTCGTTACGTTTTGTACCCATGTGGAGTTGACCCAAGGTTCTGTGCGTGACAGGCAAATGCACGCAGCACTAGGCTATCCAGCCTCCCCGATATGTAGAAAGGTTGGTTAGAGTTGATTTGCATAACTATTAACCTGAATGAGATCTCAAACCAATGTGTACATCAGTTGTCATCCTCATAATGTGATCCACTTAAAAATGTATTCACGGAGCTTTGAATTAATTCGACCAAATAAGAAAATATTCAGAAAGTTTGTTCTCCAGAGAAATAGTTCAATCTAACATTCCAGGCAAACGTTGGTTTGATGCAGTGTATGTGAAAGGTTCATGTTCTGGCGTCTTCAGAGCCGAGGCTGTGATCCAGGAATGGTGACGTGTGGTAGGAGGAATTCAAGACCACAGTTATGGTAACTTATTATGGAACTTCTCGGAATCTTTCCCTTCTTTTATTACAACGGAAGGTAAAACATGACATCACGCACAGTTGAACAATTGACTCACAAAGAAAATGCATAATCAACTTTAACTCGAAGGACAAGAAAACGATTTCAGCAGTAAAATATTTGTTCGCATGAAAAAGAATGATGACTATGTGAAAAAAGGACATTGTTGTATTTGAGTATCTCATGTCTAAATACACGAAATAACTTAATCTAATTTTTATGGCCATTTTTTCAAATGTTACAAAATGAGGAAAATGCCTTTTCTAAGTATTTCAGTACATGAAATGGAGAAAGGATAAATCTTTTGAAAAATATCCTACAATTGCAGGTGTTGTCTTTTTGTACTTTGACACAGCATAGCGTGTGCTGTTAGCCAAGATTGCCATGCTGTCGAACTGAAGCGTCCTTCTGCTGCCTGGGCGTGAGCAGTTGATGGGGTCAGCCTGACCTCCAGATGAGGTGGCAGTTGGTTGGACAGGCCGACCTCCGGGGCTGCAGGGGAGGTGGCAGTTGGAGGGAACAGGCCTAACTCAGGGGCTGTACGACGTTGACAATTGTACATGGGTATCTGAGAAAGGTTTCATATCAAATAGCCTTCTAATTTCATGGCCAAAACTAAGAGAAGCATCTTCCATAATAGAATGAGCTTTAAATCACGCAGCAATATTACTGCAGGAAAAGGTAACGTTATTTAATTTCGTTGTTTTCACAGTTGTTTTTTAGAGTTGTTTGTAACAAGGATGACATCAAGGCATTGTTTCAAAGAAGGGATAGATACCATATTTAAGGCGGAGCTCCAAATTACACAGGCCCGGGAGACCATGTAGACACTGTCCTTAGAGAACATGGTCATAGTGTCCTTCGACTGCCCCTGTCATGCTGACACTGACTTCCACCCTATTGAGTTAATTTGGGATAACGTAAAATGTCGGGTCGCCAGTCAGAACGTATTTAAGATAACGAGAGTCAAGCAACTTTGTGTAGAGCCGTTCATGCTATTGGGGAAACGAGTGGTCAGATTGTGGCTGACATGTTCGCGAGATAGAAGATGGGAACCGACGGCGTGAGCTAGCAGTGAAGGAGAAGACTGAAAACATCGTTGTTTTACTGGGCTTAGTGATTCAGAATCGGAGTAGAGAGACAATGGCATATTTTAATCTCAAGATTACTACTGGTTGGTTCCTGTATTGCTGTACGCATCTGATACCATTAAGTGTTTAGCACGTGTTTTCTTATATTGAATGTTACTCGTCCTTAAAAGTATGTTAACCAAACGCTTATCACATATTTCATTTCATATTCATATTGAACTCTGTCAAGCACTGCGAGCAAATCAACACCACACACTGCTGTTTCTAGGCATGACCGTAACTGCAAATTTATTGTACAGTGACATTCATTTGTTGGGTAACAAAGTGGATCGACTCCTTTATTCTGTGTTGACCAGCACATTGCCATGCTGGCGTTCAACTGTCGGCCCACATGTCGGGCTACTTTCGGCCCACATGGCCGTGCTGTCGTACTGTAGCGTGCAACTGTCGGTTTGTACTGTCGTACTGTAGCGTGCAACTGTCGGTCCGTACTGTCTTACTGCAGCGTGCAACTGTCGGTCCGTACTGTCGTACTGTAGCGTGCAACTGTCGGTCCGTACTGTCGTACTGTAGCGTGCAACTGTCGGTCCGTACTGTCGTACTGTAGCGTGCAACTGTCGGTCCGTGCTGTCGTACAGTAGCGTGCAACTGTCGGTCCGTACTTTCGTACTGTAGCGTGCAACTGTCGGTCCGTACTGTCGTACTGTAGCGTGCAACTGTCGGTCCGTACTGTCGTACTGTAGCGTGCAACTGTCGGTCCGTGCTGTCGTACAGTAGCGTGCAACTGTCGGTCCGTACTTTCGTACTGTAGCGTGCAACTGTCGGTCCGTGCTGTCGTACAGTAGCGTGCAACTGTCGGTCCGTACTTTCGTACAGTAGCGTGCAACTGTCGGTCCGTACTTTCGTACAGTAGCGTGCAACTGTCGGTCCGTGCTGTCGTACAGTAGCGTGCAACTGTCGGTCCGTACTTTCGTACTGTAGCGTGCAACTGTCGGTCCGTACTGTCGTACTGTAGCGTGCAACTGTCGGTCCGTACTGTTGTACTGTAGCGTGCAACTGTCGTTCCGTGCTGTCGTACAGTAGCGTGCAACTGTCTGTCCATTCTGTCGCACTGTAGCGTGCAACTGTCGGTCCGTACAGTCACGGGCTACTGTCTTCTTAAATTGCCTTAATGTCGTTTTGTAGCGTGCAACTGTCGGCGTCCCCACATCACAAAGTATTTAAAGGTTTCAGTTAATATTCAACTAAGAGTAGAGGTCAGCCATCATTTTCTCTTTTGTGTCTGCATACTTTTGAAGTTTACTCACATCTGGCTTGATAAATATTCGAAATTAGAGAGCACACATATTTCACATTGAAGAGACAAAGAGCCAGGGCGACCTCCAACACAAATATCGAATTCGTCTGGCGTGGTATGTACAATTTCAGACTTTTCACGCCAAACTAATTTGATTCCTTCCTCTGTCTAGTAACTCTCCTGTTCTCTTTGATCCTAATAGTGGCATTGTGTATCGGTTACCGCTCCGTGATACCTCTAGACGTCATTCAACTATGATTTGATGCAGTTACATCCATGCTTGGCAAATACATACATCTTACAAAAAGTAATCTGTTTTAGCGAGGGCATCGATCTACATTTAACCCAAGGGCAGCTCTCACTGAAAACAAAGATGAGTTTTCAAGTTTATGAACCTTTGCAAACTTGTTAACCTCATTGGGATGCGTAGGCAGGGCGGAATAAGCTCCCGTTATCCGATGCTTGTCGTTTGATCCGACTAGAATCGTGTGGTTAAAATGTTTAGCATAGCTGTCTGCGTGTGCTCTTCCATAGAGTGAATCGTGACTCGTTTTGTCAACCACTGTGTCGTAACGTCGCAATTAATCACATCTATGGCCAAATCAACTGTATATTGCCTTTCATATTCATATTTTTTTTGTCGCGCGAGTGTATCTAAACTCTTCCTTCCCGAGTTCATTTATTATATTGTCTTCCCTTCACTAACCCGCTAGGTGCGCTGACGAAGTCGGCCTTACTTTAAGATGAAGCGCGTGCGTCGTGCGAGCGGTACGTTTAACTGTAACACTTTTAGACAGTTATCCATTGCAACCTTCACCTATAGCGGCAACTGCTCTTATGACGTTATGGAATTGGAATTTAATATGTTATCACTGGTGTTGATGTTTGATATCAATCGTAAAAGTTTACGTTCCTATATGTATCCATACCCAGTATGTCATACTGTCGCGGGGTATATGCATTAATTGTTTCCGTACATATCTTGAAGGTACTACTAAAACAACTTACTCGATTGAAGGAAATGGGGGAAACGCCTCGAAAAACTGTGTATCGCCTTTTCTACAAAGTTTACATTTGTGAAAGATTGTTCTAGTTTTGTCGTTGGATAGTTGGTTGTTGTTTAACGCCGCACTCGGCAATATTCCAGCTATATGACGGCGGTCTGTAAATCATCGAATCTGGACAAGACAATCCAGTGATTGACATCATGAGCATCGATCCACTCAATTGGGATCGATGACATGCATCAGCCAAGTCAGCGAAACTGACCACCCGATCCCGTTAGTCACCTTTTACGACAAGCATAGTCGCCTTTTACAGCCAGCATGGGTTGCTGATGTCCTATTCTACCCCGGATCGGCACGGGTCTCCTGTTTTGTCATCTTTATATCTACAATATTTTCATTTAAACTATTCCTGTCATAAAGTAACCCACAGTGTAATGTCTTACCTTAACTACAACGTTGTTTATCTCTAAGTATCTATGCTTTGTCTGTTTTATTACAGCCACTCACAATCAGAACAGGTCACTGGTACCTCATGCTTGTCGTAAGATGACGAACATTAGTATCAGTGTTTTGAACCTACTGTGTTATCGTACTTTAAGGGCAATCATGTTTTTTTCCTGTTTCTAACATCTTTGCTCTGGTTACCTTAACAAGACTGGCATGGAAGCAGTTTTGGACTTCTTAGGTAAAATTGGCCCCTTGTTTGTGGTAAGTGCCCACTAAAATTCAACACTAAATGTAAAACCAGGCATTTTGCCCTCTGATCATTCAAGCAAATAATATAAACCCTTAATGACAGCAATGGATTAAACCTGCGAACAGGGTCAAACATGGTACAGCAAATATGCCACCTTTTCGACCACAAAGTATTCTTAGTGAGCAAATGATAACACTTGAAGGATGAGGTGATGCCAACTGTAAGATTATAGAAGGTCAGACACGGGTCAAATCAAATCAACGGTATCTTAAATACAAGGCATAGAGCTGCAGGTTGGCACACAAGTACCGCTGGAAATGTGTGCCTGTTGTGACGAACAGGCATAAACAGGCGGAGAACGGCTTTGAATGGGGCCCTTTATCGTCCACATGTGCATGTGCATGAACCTAAGAGTATCGGCAGACCCACAGGTCCATTTCTCCCAAATGACAGAGAGATTTGTCGGAGGTATTATGCCGATAATTGTGTTAATGCCATCTGTAGGCTTCTCCATCCATGCTGTACGTGTTTTCAACCACATTCAGCTAGACTGCACCTCCAAGATGGTACACGAATGCCACTTGATCTGCGATTGGTCCAATACCAAAAATACTGAACATTATGGCCACCTCAGACCTGCCACCCCATTACATGCTGTGGGCAATGAATCATAGTATGTAGACTTTGCACAGACCAAATGTGAAGATGGCCTTGTGGAGATGTGTCCTGATCACAGTGAGACTGTTTACGATAATCTTGCCTACACTGGTTGGAAACTACTTCCACATACAAATGATAAAGAAACAGTGTACATTCCTGATTTCACGTTATTGATGACGATACTAGCTTCATGAGTAAACTGTAATGCGTATATTTCTGCAATTCAACACAAGATGACTGTTTAGTGTCAGATACAAGATTAAATTCTCCATGGGAATTATGTACTTACTCGTGAACCTGTTACCATGTGCAGTGCCACAGGGACATTCCAAAGCTAGAATCCAGTAGCAGATGTCTTCTTATGGATTTTTATGCTTATCTCTCTTGATTATGAGTCATCGTTCCCTGACAAGCGACCCGTGAAGATCCGGGGTAGAATAGCTCTTAGGCAACCCATGCTTGCCGTAAAAGGCGACTATGCTTGTCGTAAGAGGCGACTAACGGGATCGGGTGGTCAGGCTCGCTGACTTGGTTGATGTATGTCATCGTATCCCAATTGCGTGGATCGATGCTCATGATATCAATCACTGGATTGTCTTGTCCAGATTCGATTATTTACAGACCGCCGTCATATAGCTGTAATATTGCTGAGTGTGGCGTTAAACAACAAACAAACAAACAAAACAAAACAAAACACTGACAAGCATTGTGCAACACAGCTGGTTACCTATCCAAGACGGGCCTTTAATGCCACTGCAATTATGCTGACAGAGGCTTTATGCAACATTCAGTCACGCCCTGTTCTGATGACAAAACTCTGTTCTGAATCGCATTTATGAAAAAAGGCATCACCGCCAACGCAAATGTAGATTCTTGCGAAAGTGTGTTGGCTGATTTATTAGAATAAGAACTAAGCCTCTACAAAATAACCCAAACCGGCTGCAGACAGGATTGTTGTTAAATTACATGCTGTTTTTTCTAGGATCAGAGTAGTCGATACCGTTTTTTTTCATTCATTTTAAACATAAATGAAAATATTTTGATACCCAAATAAAAATCTAGGCATTCAGATACATTTGAGAAATCATCAATAAAATCCCTGACTTCTCTTGCAAATGGCAATTCAAAGCAGTTACGATTGAACAGAAGATGCATTTTCATGAGAGGTTTTACGGAAACCGAAGTTAATACAGCATGCTTAACATTCCACATCACTTTTTGAAACCACTTGAATGGTTTTCTTCTTGTCGAATGAAACAATCAACGAACATGTAGTTTTACTCTCAGCCTATTTGGAATAACTGAAAGTGTTCTTTTTCGACTGCGGCAATCAGCGCAATTCAAATCTTAGACAGTAAGAATGTTGGATTACGTCCAAGCTAAAAAGAAATATGCTGACTTTAGCAGGGATCATTCCCATTTAGAATATATCCATGTCAGTTGATATCGATTTAATTACTTACATGCAAATATCTGCGATAATTTTCCGATGAAAAACCTTTCACGGAAATTGCTTTATCTTCACTGACATCAGGAAAATGATATACACTCCAGTTTTCGGATGCAGAATGGAGGGACACAGCTCAAACAATACAAGTAGTGTGTGTGGGATTGTGTAGGCTGGGCTTTACGCCACTTAACTGAACATTATTTCAGTTGTATCAAGACGTGTCAGCATAATGTAGGCGGACAACTCGAAAGTGATGCTAGTCTTAGATGTTAAATACTTTGCCGAAAGCCCCTTACACGAGTACGGTGACAAACCGAGAATCATTATCAATGCGAATTTGGGAGCGAATGAGCCATTCTTTTCCCTGATCCAAGAAGAGATACATGATGGAATCAGAGGCCATGGTTATGTTGAAACAACATCGCCGCGGCATAATACTGGGGCATAATGAAGCAGACATGAACGCAAGATATGACCTATCGTATTACTCAACCAACAGAATGGACGTTCGTCTGAACACGATGAAACTAAACTGTGCATGCCCATAGAACATGTACTGTCCTTATAGTTTGAGGAAACAGTCACTGTGCACATTCAACGTCATCTTGAAAATGGAATCTAAACCATTTAGGCATACCCCTACAGTGGGTATAGATACGATCACTGAAAAGATCTAACCAACGACATATGGGGTGAGCGAACCACATGATCCTGACTCAAGGATCATGTTAGGACCGTGTTAATAATAGCGCAATAACGTTAGGATGATCGTGATGTAAGTATTCCATGAAAGGGCACACAAAAACAAAGCTTTGCGTAGATTATTCAGTATAGGTTGACAAACAATTCGTCACTGGTGGGAATGTTTAACTTACATAACGAGTGGTATCCCGCACAAGAATACGTCTATCGTTATGTGATATAAAGGAAATGGATTTCAACTTCTTTATTCGTTCAATGCAACGTTTCGGTACAGGTGCTATTCACATGAACTTACGAACTTGCATCACATGAACTTACGAACATTGAAATGACAATAGTCAGTACAAACAAGAATAGTACTCTTTAACATTGCTTTATTTCAGAAAACAAACAAACATTGAAGATGTTATTATAACAAGCATGTTAATAGGAGAATGGAGATAGAGAAATAAATTCACACTATGTGCACATATATCACATATCTTATTACAATTACAGATAGTATGTCAGATGTATATTCTGTTAGAAGAAAGAAATAATCCAGAGAGCTAAATTTTAAGACATATGAAATGGGGGCCCAAATACTTAAAATGATATTTTCATTTTAAAATGAATGATTTACAAATAAGACGGAAAATGTAATTAAAAACATTTATAAATTTCAGCCATCTATGCTTATGTATATATCAAAATAATATTAACTGAAAATAATAAGATGAGAGATTTAAAAAACAAACATACTTCTCACAATCATGTGCTAACACTTACATAACAAAAATAACGTGGCTGACAATATACTGAGCATAAGACCATACACTCTGGCCATGGTGTTGAAACTACTTACGCGAAACTATATCAGTATGGCTTACATCGACATGGCAGCTTCAGAAAAAGTTATGAAAACCTTTTTGTATGACCTTTGCTTAAATTATTGTATTGGCAGAGCATTGTCAACTGTCGTAACACGTATTAAATGAGTTAAACTTACTGCGTCATTTTAAAACGTTTTATTATGTCATATACTGCTCAAAATAAGTTATTACATCATATTTTAATAGTTAACCTCTCATGCTATGAAAGTGAACTATAAAATGAACGAATCATGTGTTCTTTAACTTATTTTGAATTACTTTGTCATTCCTAAAAAGAGGTCTACAACGTTGAAGCTAAGGAGACAGGAAGTGTAATATTAATCAACGATGAAATAACATCTGGTTGAGAGTCTGTTTGTGTGGTATTTGATTAGTATGCTGAAGTGACCATTTAGTCTTATGCCTGATACATATGCAAATGACAGACCATACAAAGTTGACAAAACAACATTGCCACCTCACTTAAATATTTCATACTCAACTAATCAACGGTTTGTCAAATGACATCCAACATCCACAGCAAAACACTAGAGAACCGTTTCATTTCTCCAGCTTGATATTCAGTGCTGTAACCGTGAACTCGCCTGCATCAAAGAGTGAAGTGCATGCAGTCTGCCTGCCTTGATAGTTTCACACCAAACAATCACATCCATCATGACACTGAAACTTAGTCACCAAGGTAACCTTAATGTCATGATCATGAATACAATTTAAGACGTACACCAATATAATTAATGGGGGCCATTTACAATCTCATTTGAAATCATTGGTGTTCCCTTGTTGTACATGCGTTACATTAGGCATTGAGTGACAGTATGGTGGCAGTATGCCATGGCCCCTTTTTCTGTCCTTGTAGGTCAAGGTTGAAAGGTCATATACTTGTGAGCTGAGATTGAGACGTTGGCGAATTGTGCTTCCAACCTTTCTTTAAGATCCCTATGCAAATTTTTGCGTTGAAACCAAAGTAAATTATTGGATTGGCAGCGCTGTTCAGGGGAGCGAGGCTCTGAATAAATGTGCTGGCCGCGACCATGTCTTGTGTTCTCGGTACATTGAGGTAGACGTCGACCAGATCAAACACAAAGTAGGGGCTCCAGCAGATGATGAATACTGCAAAAGACGGATACCAAAATGATTTAACATCAAGACAAGAAAACACTGATGCCATGCATCAACACGACGCCAATACCAATGTTAAAAAACAATTGGTTTGTGTCCCAGATGCAGACAAATGCCAAGCTAGAACTGTTGCCATCAACAGTACCAATATAATGTGTGTGTGAGAAGCCTAAGTTGAGATAATTGAGCGTCACGTGGATATACGTTGTATTACCGGTTCTTGCCCTATTGAAATCCGTCCCCTTTTGTGTAGCGTAATGTCTGATATCAACGCTAGAATTGAAGGATGGCAGGATTCGCTCACCATTTCGCGAACACCTGTTATCGTCTCTATTTGATGGTGACAAACACATGACATAATCGGAATCACGTACAATGGACGCTGTTTTTAGTGGAGATTTCTTAAGATTGTGGAAATGTTTTTATCGCTTTTATTTAAAGATACACATGGTATAATTTATGATTAAATTTCATGTATAGAATATGTTAAATCAAAAGATAAAAAACGCTTTGCATAAAATAACAATATATGTTTCCAATTTAGCCCCTTTGAACCTTTCACAAACACATTACTGATATTGAGATATTATATTCCTATCACTTTAGATGCAGTTGTTCATCATTGCTATTTTTTGTGTCATATCAATTACATTAAATGATTTCTACAGTGATTCAGAATTGGGTGTTCATGATGAATATACGATACAATTTACTTTGAAAGGTTACTCTATTTCTACAATATTATTGCTTCTATCTCACTTTCATTATGTACATATATCATCGCAAGTGTCATCTATTGCATCAATTATGTCAAAATGCATTTATTTATCACGTTTAAATTACTTGACGTGATCTTTGGGATTTTGTATTTCTTCTGTTTTGTCTAAAGGGAACACCACTGGCTTCAGGATGGGAATTCGATTATTAAAAGATAAGAAGCCAAGACACACTTCTTTTCTCAAGTTGGAAGAAATGCTGGGTTTATTTAATTATGGCTTACATTAAAGAACGATCTTTCAGAATATATATCCAATTTGTCAAATTATGTGTCAATCACACAAATAATTTAGAGGTCGTTTATTTATTTCACCAGCAATTGCGCTATACTTCTTCCAGGTAATTCCCAATAATTTTCTACACTAAAACCCGAAGGGCCTCACCACCTTACACAAATAATTCGTTCTTTCTTCATTTTCTCTGCTTGTATGAGGAAGGTATTGATATATTTTTAGATTGAAATTTAACTCCGATTTGGTAAGTTGAAAACTAGACTTTCACCCGATGTATCTTGATAAAGTCGAACTATTTTATGCAGCATTGCCAGTGTAAACTTTTCACTTTTTATCTAAAGCTTTCCCTTCACGACACTACATCCTAAATCGCCCATTGCACTTAAATATGTCTCCACTGACTCCTCAGTTCAAGACACAACAGCAGCGAAATGACTGAGGGCGCCGGTTTCCCAAGTAAAGTAAACACTGATCGATTCAGTGAGTCAGGGTATGATATTGCGCCAATAATTGGAAAAAAACTTCAAATGTAGATTACATAAATGTATTGGGAATGAAATATGTGGAAGAAGAAAATTGAGACGAATTCGAATGGACAATAAAAATCATCATAAACAAATAACAACTTTTCGCGAGGTGTGATATAAAAACCGCATTGTGATGTACTTCGACTGATGACTACATAGTTTGCACGGAATCCTCCTTCTGTATCATAATGTAGGCGGCTGAATGTGTTGCCCCTCTTTATTCAGATGATGAAAGATAAGCTACATGTTTGTTTTGTTACATTTTGCGACGTGAGATTTATATCTAATTTTATTATTTATCTTTCACATCATAGAAAAATAGCCTTTGTCGGAGCCACCAAACACACCCATACAGACAATAGCAGGGCTGAAAAAGCCACTACACTCTACCATTTATTTTTACGTTTTTTAGATCCAAATCTGAGATAATACATGGATACTGATACGAAGACATACTTTACCTCGAAGCTAAAGCGACCAATTGTAAATTTCGAAATAACTGATTTTCCAAAAGGATTGACATAAAGTTAGAAGGTACAGTTGACATAACAGGTAAGTTTGCAGAGAATCGATTTTCGAGATATATAATTATACGTAGACCAACCATGAATGTCTTTAGAGTCCAAAATTACGATTACGATCAGTAATGCGTCGTACTCCTTGGTTCCACCAAAGTGGTAAACTTCCACGATCTACCTCAACATCGAAAGTCCAAATAAAATACTGCCAAAGACGTTATTTTCGCCACTTAACCAGAAAACAGTATTAGTTTGTATATATATCATTTACAATAATTAAATTTTCGCTGTGTTCATTGAAATTCCTGTATTCTGATTAGCTGAATTGGTCACGTGTTATTGCATTCATTTCCAAATGAATGTAAAAAATTTAGCCACGCCCACCGAGGCGCACTACTTTTATTACTTCGGAATGTCGGGGAATCCCAATATTACAGTCGAGGGAATTCCCTTTTTGCTAAAGTGTATCGTCATGCACAGGACATTTAGCGACTTTCATGCATATTCATTGTCCAAACAAACCTTTGAAACCGAAGGCCGAGAATGAATGAGACAGCAAACGTGCAGGCTCGCTCGCCTGTTTTTTTTTCTGCTCGCCTCGGTTCAACTTTCATGTCTTCGGGTTTCATTTCTGACTAGCATTTTTCCAACTGTGTTTTACCGTAATCAGGGAAGAAATGTTTGAATCTGGCGGTAACTGACCATGTAACTTGAAACAGCCGCCTTCACCCGGACATATTTCTTCCGGTTCGTTACAGTCTGACTGTTGCAGTTCTTTTCGACTCTTGTCTTAATTGACAGGTCCAATGAACATTGTTTTGATCCTGCTCTCCGTTGATTGGCTACTGACTGTGTACGCGTGTCAAGTTATGTGCATAAATTAAACGATCACCTGATTCATGTCACGCCACAGTATGTATTCCTACACCTGGAATGTTTATCAATCTCGTCATTTTTTCTGTTTTGATATATACAACTGTTTTTTCTGTTAAACTATTGTAGATAAAACATGTTTTAGGTTGTCGAATTTAATCATAAGCATTGACTGTGTATTTTTCCGGTTGGTGAGGTGAATCGAAAAACCAATTGGCAAACTTTTGTAAGAACCCGCTACGCGGATTCATACGGTTTGCACATTGGTTTTTCGATTCATACCTCAATGAACCGGGGAAAAAATACACAGTAAATCCTTAATTTAACATAACAAACGAAGGTTTTAGAATGGTGAAAGGGAGCAGAAAAATAACTTAAATAATGACATTTTGTTGAAGAGGACTTTATATAAAGAAGGAATTGAAACAAAATATTGACAAATCAAGGCGAACGTTGTTTTTAGTGTTGTCTGAAGTCTCTTTGAAGATTATTTTGAAGATCAAAGTAATTTATATCTCTCTGTTTTGAGATGTCTTATAAAAATCAGCACTAGATATAATGGTTTTATATTAACGACCAGGTATCACTTGTGAAAACAAATGCGTTAAGTAGTTTATTTTGACAATCGTGTCAGTTTAAGTATAATATCCCCTTCGTTCATATATATTTTAATAAATGATTTTCAAACGGTTTTAAGAATTAATGATATTTTCATGCTCTGGAAAGCTGACTCGATGTCAGAACTTTTTTTTACATCAAAGAGAAAACCTTTTGAATTCAATCACCTGTTTGAAAAGCATATTTTTGCTGTCTAATTATATCTTTGTTGCTGTGGGATAATTCTGATTGATTATCAGTGAAAGTTTCTTTTGCCTGAAGCAAATTGCACCTTTTAGCTTTCATCGAACATTTTCATTATCCAAGAAAGGCAATATGTCAGCACATTGCTGGAATCGCTGTGTGGAATTTCTAAGATAATGCACAAAAATGTGTGTTTATATGTTAATGACACGGAAGACACGACAACCATTGGTTTGTTTTGTTGTTTAACGCCGCACACGGTGATTTCAACTTTGAATATATGATAAATTTATAAATATATTATTGTGAATAAACGATATGTTATAATTTAATTTAATGCTGAATCATCTCTTCGACACTAATCAGTTAACCCATGTCTTGTATTTTGTCCATGCCTAAAAGATTCATCTGAAGGCTTACCGAGCACAATCACCAATGTCATCTTGATGGTTTTGATCTTTGCTTTTGGAATAAGTCCCCTGGAACTGGTGGCACTGTCCTTAAATCGTGCGTTATTGGCTGCCGCATACACATGACCTCCTACAACAACCAATAGAAACACATATTACAATCAACTTTGACGAAGTACTGTCGTTCTGTGTGTTAATAAACCTGAATCTCGTATTATCACATGCAATTTGTCACTATGGGGTTCCGTCAGGACCTTAGCAAGTTTGAGTTACCGAAAATATTCCAAAGATCAACTTGGATATAATGCAGCTTGCGGATAACCTCTATTCAAATGTAAGCAAGTATTTTATGTATTCGAAGGAATGTATTGCATAGATAATGAATATGCATTTTACTCAGATATATTTGTACATGCCCTGTGGAAAGGTTAAAGATCTTACAGAGTGACGTCTCACGAGATCACTTATGTTGGCCAACCGAGAAGCAATCAACGACCTCCTTTAAGAAGTGTTCGATAAGTGCGAAGGTAAACACTTGGTAACCACATATTCTCTTTTCAGTCCATTACTGGCATAAAGTGGTTGTCGAAACTCGCTATAAGTTCCGAACGACCGAAGCAGTGATTTACCATGATTACTATTTACTGGAACCCTTGGAATCGACTTGGAGAGATACGTCAAAGTTGATAACACGGTAACAAATATAGCGTACATTAAAATTAGAAAACACCGTGCTTATTAAAATGTCGGAATGAAGCCAGTATTGTTCCTCGTGGCATATACACTTTGGGAGTTAAATAGAAAGTAGCTTCCAAAAACAGTAAAGGATCATTTCATGTGCCAAACGACGTTTTTTTATTCATATCAATGTGTACTTGTTTCCAAGTAACTTGTGTACACACTCTACGTTATAATTAGGTTCTTTGATGTCATCCACGAGACTGTAATTTGTGTTCACACATAAGATCACATTCCGCAATCATCCGAAAACTAGATTTCAACAATTACCACAAACATCAATAACAGTCTCTGGAAATTTGACTGCTTCTTTGGTAACATCACTCTTAAGACATCCCCAGTGCAATCAGAGTAGGTCCCAACCCTTTCGCATTGAATTAAACCGTCTCAATAATCTTATTATCTGATCTTTGGCAAAGAAAACATTGTTTGAAGTGATGTCCTGGGAAGATGGGGCATCGGTCTGCACGAGACCATAGGCATTGGTCAGTCACGAAATGACCCCACTGGATGAACTGACCATTTGTAATTGTCCAGCAAGAGCCCAATTAGCTCATGCTTAATCTGTTGATCGTGTAGTAATGACAGTTTGGAACAGTCAAGTTAATTGCTGGTGCTCTAGGTTGTTAAACATGCACGGTTTTTTCCAAGCATATTGGAGAAAGACTCATTAGTGTAAAAAACATCCAGATTAATCTACTGATTACATTTTTAGTTCATATGGACTGAATTACACATATCTGTTAAATACATAAGTCGCATTCCCTTCCGTCTAATAGCCAAGCATGACAATCAGGTGTGCAGCGTGGTACCGAGCTACATGTAGTGGTTATAGAGTGATGGACACTGTATCATCGAATTATAGTTTGAATAATGTCAGATGCCTAAGTGATTCTACCTTTTTCAGAATTCTGAAGGACACATGTATCTATGTACGCTATGGCGGTGTGTTCTATGGAGGTAATTTCCTTCAGATTACCGCTAATGACATGTGTCTCAGTCTTGGCAACTGCATCGAAATAGTTGACACCATGTCACGCATTTCCCGCTTCTCTCCAATTTAATGGTTTTTTTGTAATATCAGTTCCTAATGGGAACTGGCAGTTCCATCATAACACGTACATAGGGTTACGTCAAATATGTCTGTGTCTCGTCTCAGTTGCACAAGACGTGTTGTACATGCTATATCTGCTTCTTACAAATATGCAACAGTGAGTAATTTTACCATGCATGACACTAATCAAGTGGATTTCGTTCTGAGAACTACAACTATACTTATCTTCTAAAGTTCAAAAGTGTCCTACACTGAAACCCAAATGACCAAGCCACCTTACGCAACACTTTGTTTTTTTGTTAATTTCCCAACAAGAATAGAAATAGTATGCTCTTTCTCCAGAGCCGGATCGCGCCTTTCTCTGTCACATGTTATTTAATTCATGAATTTCAGTGGATACACATATAAAACTTTAGTTTGAGTAGGGTTCGCGGGAGGCATAAACTGCGTATATTTTTCAGTGTTGTTTGAGCTAATTTGGACTTGGTGTTCTGGGGGTGTCTGTTTCAGACAGAACATATATAATATTTTCAGACGCATCTTACAGGACATCCTGTGAACAACTATTGTTTTGGGTTGTGAAAACGTTGCGGCAAAAATAATCTTTTCCCAGTATTTTTAGGATAACATTATTTATTATTATCATTATTATTTTTAAAAAGCTTGGCGTCGACCACACACACACACACACACACACACACGCACACACACGCACACGCACACGCACACACAAGCACATGCACATGCACACGCACACACATAAAAAAGAAAGTAAACAACAAAACAAATAACAAAAACAAACAAAAAACACTGAAATCTGCAAGTAAAACTACCAACTGGGTCAATATTTCAAGATAATGTTTGTTTTATCTTGTCGACATAAATTGCTGTTCTAACCTTGGAACAGAGCAAGCGTCAGACCTACTTCATCTGCAAACACAATCTGACTCCACGGTGGTTCTTATTGACAGCTGAAGTGATGCTAGTTGGTCTCAGAGTCAGTGGCAGCATTAATGATTTCGTTAGACAGCCTCAGAAGTCAGGTTAGCGTAAACAACTGATGGCCACAATTTAACGTCAGTGAATGTTACAAAAGACGCGCGTAAGAGATGATAGCAGGAGGGTTTTAATGATGTTTTGGAAGATGGTTAGAATGAGTGAGTGATGACATACTATTTTAATTATATCACGCCTTGCCTGTTTCACGTGGGAGGAAAGCTCCTTGTGATTTGGCAAAACCTAATATAACAGGTGTGTGTAGTACTAAGGGACGCAACGCTGACAGAAAGCCGCACATTATTGTGTTTTTGTTTGTTGTTTAACGCCGCTCTCAGCAAAATTCAAGCTATATAACGGCGGCCTGTTAATAAATCCAGTCTGGACCAGGCAATCCAGTGATTGACATCATACGCGTCGATTTTCGCGATTGGGATATGATAACAAGCATCAACCAAGTCAGCGAGTCTTGCCATCCGATGTCTTTGTTCGCCTCTCACGTCAAGCGTGGGTTGCTGAAGATCAATTTTAACCCGGATCTTTACGTGTCTGGAAGATGTTATAGTTTGAGATCTAGAACTGAAACTTAGGTTTGTCGGATAAACAACTTTGAAATCTGGAAATATAAGATTTTCCATATGGAATCCAGTAAATTTGATACTGAAATATTGTTAAAACGTGCCGGTGATTTCTTCGTAAGATTACGAAAAAAACCAAATGACCCATGTCTCGATGAATTTAGGAAAACTGGAGTGATAAAAAAATGGAAATTCTCGTTAGTAAGTATCTTGTTCCAGTAATAATTTACAAGCGTTACCCGTCAGCAGTTAAAGCAAATGGCTTTAATTGATTTTATAACCTAGTTGTGAAAGGGTATCGAGTAGGATGGGAATACACCAGAGGCTCAAAGGAATTTTCGCAAGACATAAAATGCATCTTGCCATCCAGACATTATGATACTACTTTAGGTCATTAAACGTCTGGCACGTGCAGTGTTATATTTTTGTATTAGTTAAGTCAACATTTAGTACATGTGAACCTTTTGAACTTTTTTGATAAATCGTTGAGTTAACGTAGCAAGTAATTGGAGCGTGCAAAAAAATCCAAACGGATTAAATTGTTGTTTTGTTTCTAATATAACGCATAACATTGACTGTAGTATCTCCAAGTAAATTTAACATGACGGTAACAAGGTAAGTAGGAGCTGAAGTTTAACGTCTAAAGCTTTAACTAGTCATGGCTTGTTACACAGTGAGATAAAGCTCAAGAAGTTTAGCACTGTAGGAATTAAGCTTACACACACGCAGCGCTATCTCTATACATCGTGACGCCTTAAAGGTCTAGCTCTGGTGAATCGATTTCATTATAAGCACCACTTGAGTGATTCTGTGTCTCACATTAGCACCATTTCGTCTTTTATACGTTTTCAATCTCCTGATTTCGATGAAATTCTCTCCACAACAAGTCGACTTGTCAGAATAGGAGGCAACAATTGGAATCAGTTTTTTTTACCAATGGGGGATCGATGAGGCCTAGAGGAATTGTTTACTTGCATAAACGTCCAGTCGCATATAACTTAGTATTCATTAACATGAACTAATAACGCCCCATGCAATAACTCCTAATGAAAGTGTCATACAGACTGATTACATCTACTAACGTTCGAAGTACCGACTAATGAAGGTCACCTCAGGAAACTAATCCAAGTGAAATGCTAGGAACCATGTCTGGTGGTCAGTTTAGTTGAATGAAAGTTGTCCCAAACCTATCCTTCTTATAGTACACAACAAACGCTCATGGTTCACTTTTTATCATGAACAACAAACAAGGCCACAAAAAGGAAATTATTTAGTCTTGGTATTTTCATCGTATTTTCTAGAAAAGGGATAGAAACCTGTATTGTCGTTTTTTGCTGTCATAAGGTATTTAGGTGCCAAATGTGAATGCATACGGGTTTGGGGAAATAATAAAATGTCTGCAAAGGTTCAGAGAGTTCAATGAAATTTTAACATCAGCGCTAAGAGAAAATATTTAAACACATTTACAGAAAGCAGTTGGAACAAGGTTAAAAGAACACAATTCGTCCTTCGAATCCACTTTTTGGTAAAATTACCCGATATCATAATATCACATTTCCAAATTAAACCATCGTTATGCCTGAATATAGCCTAAACTGTGGAGTATATTAGATATTCACTAGAACACTAAAAGAAGTTAAATAGTACACAGTTTTGCACCGTACCAAGAGTGTCATAGACCATGGCTTAGCGAGACCCTTAAACATACAGCACATCCGACCACATCATCAATCTATATGGCTGATCCATCATGTCGGAATGTGA